TTGTAAACAGTTTATTTGAATTTTCAGATTGGACTAAATTTAAAAATAATATTAATTCTTCTTTCATCAAATAAACAAAGTATTCAAAATTAAAACACAAACCATTTGCCTTAGGTTGCATCCTGTTTGTCATTAATGCTCTGTCAACAATAGCTCTGCCCATTTGGTTGTAGAGGAATTCATAAGTGTAGCAGTCTTGTCCTTGCTTTCTTCTGGCATGAACAACATACTTGTATGCTATACATTGAGACTTGACATTGGAATTTGAGTGTGGCTTTAGGTAATAAGGTTTTACAGTGAGAGTTCCAGTCATGAAAACATAGTTACTTTGAAATCTGAAAGAAAATTTACTTCCATTTCCATCCATTTATGACATACATTGATATAAAATATCAGATTATTTTGGGATGAAACAGCAGTATTATAATCAGAAAAATCTTTTTATTTATAGTAGATCTTGTAGAACAGATTTGGTAAACCTTTTATTTTATTTTTTTTTTTTATTCAATTTGGACACAAGATTCCTATGTGGGATATGGATGGTATGAAAAACATTTTTTTGTCCTCTGGGCTTAAAAGAATTAGAGATAAGGTTGTTGTACCTTTACATACCTTCTGCAAAAATGAGTGATTTGTTATGAATCCAGGTATGTTACAGTATAGGCCAACTTCGGCTGCCGACACCTTCGGCCGCGCCCTGTCGAACACCAAAATGTATGGAGCGCCCTTTGAGTGCTTTGCCGATTGGAAGTTGAATGCGCGCTATTGTTTGTCACGCTGATATACAGTGGTTGAATGAGCGCTATTATATCCATTCAATTCTAAACCTCAAATTCAGAAACACTCAAGCTTACATTGTTACAGATAGGCCTAAACACACAGAACATGTCGTAACAATTAATATTAATAGTGTGTTAAAATTTCAGTGATAAAATTATATAATTTGTGAAAAAATTGTAACGATTAAACATGGCAAACTTTGCGCTGCCACTTACACCATGGTTAACACAAGCAACATATTTGCAAGATTTGTAAACATTTTGACGATAATAATTGTTAAAGGTAAACTTCATGCTTGTTATCGATTATAGATCTCATTTTTTGCATGTGCACTTGTTTACTATTCAGTAATGTAAATATAAAGACCTGAATTTTAAATCACCAATAAATTAAATATTTGATTGAGTAAATTAATTGATTGGCTTTAATGATATAAAGTGTATGTACATTAAGGGCATGAGAATAGAGAGATATTCCTAAAGAATTTTTATTGACTAATGATTGACAAATTTACTCTAGATTTCTTTTTCCAACTCTTGTAAATAACACACTTTCATTACCCTCGCTAATGTGTTATTTTACATCCGATCTTGTATGAAAAGATAACATGAACAGACAACAGACATAAAAATAAAATTATTAAATAAAAATGTTTTATTTTGTGGATAAAGGACGAAATTTGTGCATGTGTATCATTCTAAATTTTATTTGACGAAATTCTATTTTGTGAATAAAGGAAACTGACGAAATATGAATAAAAATACTGTAAAAAATGCGTTTCCTAGTCTATTTTTTTCAAATATGGTAATTGCTATAGTAAGCATCTTTATCGTCAACCGTCATCACAAATCAGCGATATAGTGCCAACAAGCAGTTGCATTAGATCATTCGGCAGTTGATGACTCTACCAGTTCTTCCAATCGAGCACGTTGAAGAGGTCTTCCGGGGCATCACAGCAGCAGCTAACGGTTCTCCAGTGCTCGAAAACATGCTAGAGTACAGGGACGTATCCAGGGGGGGAGCCGTGGGAGCCGCGGCTCCCCCCCCCCTTTGTATATAGTGTTAATATTTTCAACATTCTTCTTGCTTGCTAATATAAATTTTTTTGAACTACAAGCAGCACCACAACACAAAATAGCGTGTGTATACCGTAAAACCTCAAAAAGAAGTCCAAAGAGCTTAATCTAGAATTCCAATTTGAATTGAAGCCCCCTTTTTAAGATTGCAAAAGTAGCGTCGAACAGAAGTTCATCAATATAGCATTGGCCTCTTTTCGAGATAGTACAGCATATACACTATTTATAGTAGTAATTCCCAAAATTTACAGCATTCATTTAGAAAAGAACCCCCACCCCAAATCCTTTGCAAAAGTAGCATCGAGAAGAAAAGAAGCCGATCAAGTTGAAATTATACTAGATGAGGTAAGCAATCTGATTTTCTATTTAAATGATAGATAGATTAAAAGTACGTAGGTAGGGCCTATAGAACGTACTGTAACTGATGGGTCTGGTAGAGTAGGCATAGCCTATCTACGTCTAGCATAAGTGGTAGTAGGCAGGCCTACACATTACCCAATCATTAACGCGCACACATTCTTAGCATGCAGACAGGTCTAGCATGACAGTTGTCTTAGACCGATTTAAGGGAAGCGTATGTAGATGCCTAGTGCTAACAAAGGTTGTAAATAATTATAGAAGGCGGAAAGGCACATTAAATTGTGCCGCTTAATTAAAAACAAGTATATTTATCAATCTTATCTATCAATCTTACTCTCTTAGGATGGGACCCAAAAAGAGGAAAATAGAACGTGGACAAACACTATTAAATTTTATCCCCCGAAAATCGACAGCTGATACGAGGGAGAATAATGATGGTAAGAAAGCTCCTTATAATACAGTATCTGGTGGTACTTGTGGTGGTTATGTGACCAGTTCAGTGAATGGGTGTGACTGGCCTGTGTCATTCTGTGTATCAATAACAATAAGTGTTTATATGTGTGCCCATTGTGATTGCCGCTTTTTACAAGGAAATTGAATCTTGAAATGACTGTAGTTAAAGCAGAACAGTAAAATTTGCCAATTATCACTGTTTGACCTTTATGCCTACTATACTTACAATGCTATATATGAGACTAAATTATAAAATTGGCTTAAATTTGCATATAAAATAGTGCGAACTTCTGATTTTCCAGTTTCACAACCAGTAGGCCTAAGATAATATCGATTTCATATAAAGTGCAGATTTTAATTAGCGCTGTTCAAATTGTAGCTATCGTTACTCTACTTCCTTCCATCTGCACACGAAATACGACTCCTGTCTCTTATACACACCTGGGCAAGTAAATATGGGAAGCCCATATTTAATCCAAATGGAGCCCATGTGCCAAATATGCTGTCTCTTATACACATCTAGATGTGTATAAGAGACAGGTACCAAATGTGCTGAGGATCAGCCCGCAAATTATCCAAATGCAGCATCCGATGAAGCGAGAAATACCGAGGATCAGCCCGTCCCTGATCCAAGTGAAGCATCCGATAACAAACGTTATGATAATCAGCTCGCTACTGATCTAAACAAAACACCCGATAACAGACGTGTTGATGATCAGCTCGCCTCTGATATAAACGAAATACCCGATACTAGACGTGCTGAGGATCAGTCCGCCTCTGGTCCAAATGAAACATCATATGCCAGGCATGCTGAGGATCAGCCCGTCTCTGATCCAAATGGAGCATCCGATACCAGACGTCTGAGACGTGCTGACAATGGGCACCTTGGTTTTAAACCAGGTACGCCTACTCTACAACACAATGAAAGACAGAAGGCTACGGCCATCGTTGCTCCCTCTACTAATTCTTCTATCCTTTCTGTTGATTACGACATAGGCATATTTGTAGATAAAAAAGCAACTGATATGGAAAAATTGTTCATACTTCAAAACAAATGGCAGCCAAATATTGGGTTTCACTGGCCATTTTCATTTAAAAAACAAGGCTGCCACACGTTTAAATGGTATTTACAGCAACACCATATCGACAAGTTTCCTGATATTTCTTTTAGTCAGACGGCAGGAGGGTTGTTTTGTAAAGTGTGCGTTTTGACCAGGTTAGGAGAAGCTACGTATAGGACGGATGTTCCTCTTGGGGACCTTAGTTAAAAAGCCTTTAACGCGTTATGATCGCATATTAGGAGAGACTGGTGACTTAAACAAACATTTGAACAATGAATACCACAAGAATGCAGCAGCAAAATGTCAAGCGTTTGTCACGGCTCAACTCAAACATACCAATATCGTTAAGGTCATGGATGCCAGTCATCGTGAAACTTGCGAAAAGAATCGTTTACGGTTACGACCAATAGTAAAGATCATCGATTTCTGTGGTAAAAACAACATAGCGTTAAGAGGCCGAAATGACGGTGGACCTATTATTTTGGACAAATTGGAGGACGGGGAAGGTAATTTTCGTCGTCTATTAAAGTTTAGGGTAAATGGAGGAGACCAGGATCTTAAATACCATATCCAAGATTCTCCGCACAATGCTTGTTATATGTCACCCATGGTGCAAAACGAAATAATTGAATGCATTGGCGCCGAATTGAAGGAACAAATCATAAATCGTGTTAAAATGTCCAGATTTTTTGTCATAATGGCAGATGAGACAACTGATATATCCTCAACTGAACAGCTAGCCATATGCTTTCGCTACTATGACTCTGAAGCACAAGATATTCGAGAAGAGTTCGTTTGTTTTATCGACGTTATAGACAAAGAATATGCGCCAAATCAGCCCGGAGAAATCGAGGAGTGCCAAGAAATTCCAAGAACAATGGAGGAATATCTCGAAAAATGTAATGAAGACACGGAGAGGTCGTTTACTATCGAAGAGCCAAGACTCACTGGAGAAGTAATTGGTAAGGCAATCCTGCATGTGTTAGAGAATGCCGGAATGAATCTTGAGGCAGCCATCGGCCAAAGTTACGATGGTGCCACAGTAATGAGTTCGTCTGCTGTTGGTACTAGTGCATATGTTAAAAAACATTGTATTCATGCTGATTATTATCATTGTTCTGCTCATGTTCTAAATCTATCTTTAGTGCACGCATCAAAGTTGCCAGTTGTGAGAAATATGATAAGCAGAGTAAAAGAAGTGACAACATTTCTGTCTAAGAGCAACAAAAAGAAGGCGATTCTTGCTAAAGCTGCAGATATATCAAAAGCTCAAGGTCAGAGTGGTTTACAATCGCTTTGTGAAACCAGATGGGTGGAACGGGTGACAGCTCTTGAGAGGTTTGTTACGAATTACGTCGTAATCGTGAGAGCGTTGATGGCAATTAGCCGATGGAGAGACACAAATGCAAACCAAAAGGCGAAATCTCTACTTAATGGTATTACAAACAGCACTTTCGTAGTAACCTTATTCAGTTGTGTTGCAGTATTGAACAACATTGACAACTTGTCGAAAAATCTTCAGAAGAAAAACAATAGCTTGCGG